AATACGTAATATATAGTACGGCCCCGGCAGATTGCTCTATCAAGGGGCTCGTAATTATAAAAATATAATTTATAAATAAATTAAACTACTAGCTAGGTTTTTTTAAAAAAGTCTAGTTACTAAATAACCTTAAAAAAAAAAAGGTTTAAATAGATTTTTAATAACTCTTAAAGAACGAGAATAAATATAATATATAACTTTTATTAAGATAATAAAAAGCTTTAGAAAGTTCGTAACTAGTATTAACGATTAAAGATCGTAATAGTTTTAAACTATATTTAAAAAATACTAAATATATATAAAATTATTTCCCCCTAACGAAGTAATCCGCTAGGGCCGTACTATATATTACGTATTAAGGAAAACTAAGTATATTACGCTCTATACTTAATTACTAATTAAAATAGCTCCTAACTTTTTTTTATAATCCTTTAAGTTCTAGCTATTTAAAAAGTAAACTATACTTATTTTAATATATATAAAACTTCTTAATATTAACTTACGTAAGTAGCTAGATCTTATATTATATACTCTTTTTTATTAAGGGTTAGGGGGCCCCTTATATATTCCCTTATATTTATAATATAACCTATATTAAAGGGATTTTTAGTTTTATAAAATATAATTTTTAAACTAATATTAATATACTAAATTTTAACGTCCGTATTAGCCCGGCTATTTATAATATTCGTACTATTACTTAGCTAAATTCTATATTATTAAAAAGTACTTTATTAATTTTTAAATATACTTATGTTAGTTATAATAGCTATAGCGTTAAGCTAGCTAAGGGTACTTAGCTTAAAAAGAGTAGACTTATTAATAAGTATTTTTAGAGAGTTCTAACTTATTAATTACTAACTATATACTAAGAGAGTAGGTTCTTATTAAAATAGTATTTTAATTAACTAACTTTTTAACTAATTATTTAACTAGCTATTTAAATAGTAGTTTATATATTAATAAGTTTATTTAGTAAATTTATTTAATAAATTTATTTAATTTAAATAAAGAGTAGCTTTAAGTAATATTAAAAACGATAAGAATAAAAAGAATTTTTATAAACTTTAATATATAAATATTAGCCTATTTAGCCCTTTTTTTTAAAAACCTCTACGTTATTATTAAAGTTTAAAACCTCTATAGTTAAGGGCTACCTCTAACTATTATAGCTAACTATTATAGCTAATTATTATAACTAACTTTTATTATTAACTTTTTTAACTAGCGCCGCTACGTAATAAAGAGGGTAACTTACTTATTTTAAATTATATAGCAGTTTTTATATTAAAATTACTATATTACGTTAAGTATATACTTAGGGTATATTGTATATATTATATAATTAAAAAGTATACCGTATTATATAATTTCCTTTAAAAACGTAATCCCGTTAAGGTCGATCCTTTGCGCTTATAAAGTTAGAAAAAAACTACTATATATTTAATTAATTAGATCCGATAAGATAAAATTATAATAACTTATAAATATAAATAGTATTAATAGAAATATTATATAAAATACTTAAATAATAATATATTCCGTAAATATTAAAGTTAGAAAGAACTAAAAAATAAATACCTTGCGAACGATAATTTAAATAAAATATTATTTTAATACCTTCGTTAGAGAAATAAATAATACACAATAACTTATAACGAGACGTAGCTATTTAAGACTTCGATTTTTTAATTCGACTTAATATTATATTAATATATTTTAAAAAGATATTTAACAATTCCCTAACTTAAGAATAGACGACTTACTTATAAGCCTAAAGGACTAGATTTTTAAAAAAAAAAAACTAATATTACGATTTAATATATATAATAAGGCTAAGGCCTTATTTTATAAAACTTATAATAATTATTATATTATATATATAAAAATACAAACTTAAAATAACTCTTTTTAAGATAGAAGAACTATAAATAAGTTACGTAATTACGATTATATAATAAAATAAAAAACGGATATTTATAAATAAATAAAATAGATAATTATAAATATATAAGACGGACGACCGTTTAATAAATAGTTAAATAATAATAAATAGGAATATTATAAAAGATATATTTAAAAATAAGACTTATATATAATATAGACTTAAGCCGGGCTTAAGGATAGACTTTTATAGCTTTTTTAGTAATAAACCTAGTATTAAAGTTTATAATCGCTTTTAATTATTTTTATTAAATTTCTTTTTAATAAGATTACCATTAATTATTAAAGCCTTATTTACTTTATAACTTATAAATATAGCTTTAAAAAAGCTATTTATAATTATAATACTCTTAACTTAGTATTCGTAGCCTTAACTTTTATTAATATACTTATTATAACTAGCTAGCCGTAATAGCTTAATATAATATAATAATTTCGATACGAAAACTACTATTTAATTTAAAATAAATAAGCTACCCTTTTTAGTAGTAGTACTAATTAAAAAGGTTAATAATAGAGGTCGGCCGTAATAGTTAACTATAATAGTTAGCTATAATAGTTAGCTATAATAGTTAGAAATAGCCTTTTTTAACTATAGAGGTTTTAAACTTTAATAATAACGTAGAGGTTTCTAAAAAAAGGGCTAAATAGGCTAATATTTATTACTCTTTAGAGCTTATAAAAATTCTTTTTATTCTTATTATTTTTAAGATTACTTAATACTACTCTCTATTTAAACTAAATAAATTTATTAAATAAACTTATTAATATATAAACTACTACTTAGATAGCTAGTTAAATAACTAATTAAAAAGTTAGCTAGTTAAAATACTATTTTAATAAGAACCTATTCTATTTTTAGTATATAGTGAGTAATTAATAAGCTAAAACTCTTTAAAAATACTTATTAATAAGTCTACCCCTTTTAAACTAAGCGCCCTCTTTAACTAACTCGACGCTATAATTATTATAATTAATATAAATATATTTAAAAAGTAATAAAATACTTTTTAATAATATAGAATTTAGCTAAGTAATATTATAATTATTATAAATAGCTAAATTAATACGAATATTAAGATTTAGTATATTAATACTAACTAAGTTATAATAATTATAATAAATAGGTTAAAAGTATATAAAGTTAGGATAATAAACTAGTATTTTAAATAGCTCTTATAAGACCCCCTAAGTAATAATAATACTTATATAAAAAAAGAGATTATATTAGACCTAGCTATTTATATAAATTAGTACTAAGAGATTTTATATATATTAAAATAAGTAAAGCTTATTTTATAAATAAATAATAAAAAGTTAAGAGCTATTTTAGTTAGTAATTAAATATAGAGCGTATTATACTTAGTTTTCCTTAATACGTAATATATAGTACGGCCCCGGTAGATTATTTTATTAAGGGGTTATAAAAGCTTATATTATTATAATTTAACTTATATAAATCTTAAATAAATAATATAATAGTTCCGAACGAATATATAAATTATAATAATATTTTTATTTTTAAAAATTATAAATTAGAGCTTAGGTTAGAAAAAATAATAAGAATAGTTATATTAATATAGTTACCCTTACTGCCTTTATAGGGAGGTATTATTTTTTTAAACTAATTAGAAGTAGGGTATATTATACATCCCTAAGAGCTATACGTCTATATTAATTCGTTATACGTCCTTATTAATTACTCTTATATAATACTTACTTATTTAATTAACTTTTTATAAATAAGAGCTCGATACTTATAAAAATAAGGATATAAAATAAATACGCTATTATAATTTAAATTCTTTTAAATATTTTATTATAAATTTAATTTACTTTACTAAAATAAAAGTATTAAAATAATAATATTATTATATATAATTAATAAGTATTATAAGAATAATTTTATAAAGTTAGTTATAATAAGCGAATTTTAATATAATTAAGAGGAAATATAATTAAAAAACATTTTTAAAATAATTTAGTAAAGCGTAAAGTAATATATTCTCTTATTATATAAAACTTGTAATATTTAAACTAGTAGTAAAGCGATTATATAATAAAATATTTCTAATCCTTAATTAGTTAAAAATTTGCCTAGGGATCTATTAATAACTAAGTACTTATTACTATATACGGGACTCCCACCTTAACTAGGGGGGGTCATTATTAGTTTATCGAATTACTCTTATGCACCCGCTGTTCATAATTAACCCATATTATTATAGAGAATGGCTGTAGTATGTCAGACTTTTCCTCACTTTAAGAGTAGTTCGCTTTAATGTCGCCTTGCTATCTACTAAAAAAGCTCACTGATAATACAGCTGGCTCGCCATTTAGGCTTGAGCGTCTAAGGTGGACGGACATTTGTTTGATCATTTACTTACATTCTGTGGAAGCCTGCTGTCGTCTCTGGGCTCGAGGGATCAGCATCCCTCCAGCCCCCTGCGCCGCTGCCCGGGGTTTCCTTTCAGGCACGGCCCAACACCAACTAGAATCCAATCAAGCGCCCAAAGTCCCTTGCAAACCTTCCAGGTCCGGTAAGTGGAGAAAGACTTCTGCGAACCCCGAAATTCGGAATGGAGTTGTACAAGACTCCGGCGGGCGTCAATCCTTGGGAGACAGCAATTGACTAGAAGTCAGGGCATACTGAGGTAGTAGTGGTTGTCCTGGTCATATGGTAGGCTTTTAATGACAGCTCCGCACAAGTCACTATCTGGATCCTGCCGGGCCGACCTGTCAGGCGAAGAAAACCGCCAGATATCTTCGTCATCGGCAGTTGGTGGAAATTTCGCTTCCCATGCAAACGTCAACTATCATCGTACTTGACCAACGGGTAGCGGGCACCATCGAGATGGAAGCTGCAAAGGTCTTGATTGTATAAGAGTCTGACGGAAAGTTCGTGGCTGAAAGTCTACCCCGGAAATGTGAACAAATATTGACAACCCGGATCGCCGGGAAGTCCTTAAGACCCCCTCGACCTCCTTCCCACCTCATCATCAAACGTGTAATCGCAAAACTGCAACATACGCCACTCATTTGAACATATTATAACAATGCGTCTACCTAATATTCTCGTTGTCGCGATGCTCCTCAGCCTCGGCGCCACCGCCGCCTTGCCTGTCGAAGATGTCACGGACATGACAGACTTCGAAGACGTCGCAAATGACGCAATGGCGAAACCACCTCCGCACAAAGTAGAAAAGCCATGGATGATGTGGGGTGTAAGAAAACCACCAAACACCAGCATGGCCATAGTGAGAACTAACGATGATGTTAGATGTGCGCTATAGCATCGAACCAATGCATCATTCACGGGCCTCACGGTGAACGCAGATACCAATGCAAGAACTTTGTTCGTACCCACCTTTTTGTTCCGACTTCCTCCCCGGGATGTTTGAAATGTAGAGGGAGACAGCTGATGGTTTCCCGCTGTGATAGTGTACAAGGGATGGGGGCACGTGTCGCGGACAATATACGACAACACCACGCATCAAGACTAGGTCCCATTGCAATTAGGCGCTTTTGAGGTCGGGTCTGATGTGGTGTCTTTCTTTGAGGTTGGGCTCGGCCGGTGCTCAGCCACGGAGGTCGTCAACTTGAGCCTAGATGGCGGATACGGAGCAGACGCGATATGTCAACCGAAGATCGTTTAATCAACGAATATTTGCACGTTTGATGATGGGGTGGATGAAGCACATGCCGTCAAGTCTCATAGTTTCAGCATTGGAACATATGTTGAGTCTTCATGTCCCTTGACCTTTTCGAGACGCAAGACCTGAAACTTTCACTTGACTTTGGGAGAATTTAGGTGCTTAAATATGATTTCATTACTTGTTGTCAACCTTGAAAGGACTCTGCTTCCGTGTATCCTAGGAGAATAACATCGCGAAATTAACCTCCGAACCCAATCACAATTTGACGTTGGGAATCTCAAACGTCTGCACCATCTTGGTCTCAAAGTAACTCCAGAACTTGGTCCCGCTAATCGTAGTATCAGTCGCCTGCACATAGCGATCACCGCTTCCAATCTGCGTTCTCCACCGCGTGACAGTAGCACCGTTCGTCGACGCTTGCGAGAATCCGCTCAGGTCAAAGTTGAGGTACTGCGCCGCGCCCCAGTTGACAGCAACGATGATAAGCTTCGAGTTGGCCGCATCGTACGCCGCGACGACATTATCCGAACCGCCATCCAGAATACGCATGCCCTCGCGGATATGGCGCGCAAATTGCGCAAAGACAAAGTACTTCTGGTTCGCCGAGCCAAGCGTACCAGCCTCATTGTCCGCATCAATAACACCCCAGCCGCCGCCGTCAAGAACCTGCCAGTACACCCAACCCGTGGGCCGCAGCCACCGAAAGTCGAGAATCATGTTGCTCACGAGCCTCTCGCCCGTCGCGTCGCTCTCGCCGTACTCGCTGTTCCAGAGACGGAGGCCGCGCGCCGAGGCGAGGGAGTAGACCTTGTCGCGGGCGCCGCTGGCGTACTGGTACCCGTGGACGTTGATCCGCGCGACGTTCTTGAGGGCGGCGTCTCCGAGGTTCTGAAGCGTGGTGACGGCCTGGTCGTAGTAAGACTCGTCCGAGGCGGCGATGGACATGCTGGTGAGGCCGCGGTTGTTGAGCTCGGTGCGGAGGTAGTTGATGATTGTCGCCTGCGTGGCGACGTCAATGTGGCAGCCTTCCTGTGTGCCGTCGGCCTTCCACCAGTTCGCGGTGGGCTCGTTAAAGGGCTCGACGGTCTCGAAGGTGATGCCCCAGTTGTCCTTTGCGTACTTGGCAATGTTGGCCATGTAGACAGCGTGCTGCTGGAGGTTCCACGACTGGATGTTCTCGCTGCCGTCGGCGGAACCGGACGGGTTATGGTTCTTGGTTGCCCACCACATGGGTGAGTTCGAGAAGAGCTCGAAGCGGTTTGCGCCGCGGCTCTTGGCCTTTTGCATCATGGTGCGCTGGTTCACGTCGACGTCCCACTTCCAGGCAGACGAGGCCGGGTCGGTGTTGGTGTAGTCGACCCAGTGTCCGTCAATCTGCCGGGACGCCATCATCTTGGTCGAGACCACCATGCTCTCGCCGTTGATGCTGTTCGTGCTGCAAGCACCGGCGTTGTGACGAACGATATTGAAGCCCAGACCGGGCAGGCTTGCGCCGCCGAAGGTGGTGGTCTTGGTGGTGAAGAAGATGTCGGCGAGGTCATCGCGGGTGCCGAAGCGCTTTGCCCACCAGGCGAGAGAGGTTCCCCATCCCTCCCAGGTGCCACGGTTCGACTTGGCGTCGATGGTGGTCGCTGTGTCTGCAGCAGCGGGGGAGACGGAGGCCAGGCTCACGGCCAAGGCGGCGAGAGTCTTGAAGTGCATGGCTGAGAGATCGAGAAGCCGGGGCCTGCTGGGACAAGGACTTCAGATACAACCCAGGATAGAGGTTCGTCTGCTTCTTATGCATCACGATCCTACGCAGCCAAGTTGACCTCCTTCCCTCGAGTGAGATGACGGGAGCAGGGGAGCTGACTCGAATGGTGGACCTCGTATGTTAGAGTGCCATCGTAAACGGGGATACGCGGGCCGTGTGATAGCTTGAGTCTCTTGGAAAGGGAAGCTAGAATGACCCGACCTAACGGTTTTATTCAGTGGTAACTTAGCCGGACCATTGGTCGTTCGTCGAAACGGCGGTTGAGTCGCTTCTGGGAAACGGAGCTCGGTCGGTTGGGTCCGGCACGGATGTGGCGTTGATGGTGGTTCAGGATCACGTAGAGTCTCGAGCTCAAGGTGTGCCCCGCAGTCTGAGCGAGGGTGCGAGGGGTTAATTCCATGTTTAGAGTTAGATTATCAACGACAACGTGGTGCCGGGATCCGATGGACAGTAGTGACAAATTGTCCGTGAATAGAAGGCCGATACGAGCTCGATTATGATCGCCAAGCTGTATTCTACTACGGGATCGTTAGTCAAGAGTAAGATAGAACGGCTAAGGGGCAGACGGAAAACGGATCTGATTCATGGCGGGCGTGCCTGAAGATACTGTACAAGAATGCGCAAAGCGATAACAGGTATGGATACGATACCAAACGTGTCCCCTGGATATCCTGAGTCACGACATCAGTCTAAGCCAAATGCGTGGCCCGCCATATCCCGTTTGCCAATTCATATTCCAACACATCATCATCATCCCTCAAAAGCCGCCAATGCCTAGCTCCAATCCTCCCCGCATATGCGACCCAATGTGCGTGCCTGGGAACCCCCCAATCTCGGTAGAATGGTATGCTGCGCGGCTAGTCTAGACTGTCTAGTCTGGAGAACGCGGGGAAAAGTGCCATGCTTTGATGGTAACATGCATCGAGAGGTGTCAGCGGCGCAACCCGCTGCCGCGTCTGCATTGGCGGAAGATCATGCAAGCGGCATTTGGTACCTGGTCCATCCGGCTCCGCGATCCGCGGACATGTCATGAGACTTCTGCCAAATTTAGTCGCAATTTGGGGTACATTTGGCCATGGATTAGCTCTCGGGGCTAAAGCGGGACAACCTGCATGTGAAATACAAGTTAGCTGGTTTTTGAGCAAATGTTTGAACGGAGTATTGACATACAGCCCGACGGCAAGTTTGGTAGGAAAACAGATCACGGAGTCGCAAGTATGCTTGATCGCAAGCAATTGTGGTTAATGAGCTCATAGCAAGCTTAGTCATGGTCAAGGCGCATCTGCTTTTGCATTAGAAACGGACAAAGCTTATTCGAACAATCAACGCCAACTTACCTTTGCGACTTGGCGACTGTGTAATCATACAATGTCGCGCAGGCAAGTAGGATAAGAAGAGCTCTTGTTCCCAGGCGAGAGATCAGCAATAGCCCAAAACCATCAGTGTCGAGCCTTTCTCTTTCTAGTGGGCGTCTGAGGGTTATTCAAGCTTGATGCCCGCATGCCCGCTCTAGAGTTCCGCGCAGTTGACTTCTGGACGATGGTCTTTGAGCTAGCGGGAGATTTATCCAGACCAGGTGTTTTGTTAGTCAATCCCAACCGTTCAACAGTGGTAGGCGGCGAATCGATTGGGGTTCCGAGAATGACCGGCAGCCCAGATCCAGAAGGCGCAATGGGTTTGTTGCAGGCCACCGAGGGAGTTGACAAGCCCTCTCGTATTCTGGCTTCAAGCTCGGCCTTTCTGGCAACTTTCACCTTGGCCTTCAGGGCGTAGATCTCCTCATTCAACTTGGCCGTTTGTGCGAACAGGCGCTGATTCTCGGCATCGAACGCGTCCCTTTCGGCCTCGGCTTTCTCGACAGCAGCAAGAAGCTCAGGAATTCTATCGGCCTGATAGAGCACCACTCTCGGCGGATGGCCAGCCTCAAGAGCCTCGACATCGTCAATGGCTCGCACAAGTCGAGCACTAGCGACAGCAACGCATTCGTCAAGGATAATCGGCGTCGCATTCTCCTCGCGTATCAAGTCCTTGTACAGCGCCGACGTTTCTTTCATCTCGGCTCCCTTCTCGTTGTGGGCGACGATTAAATCGCGAAGCTGCCTACTCGCCTCTTTGTGAGAGATGAACTTCGGTCCCTTGGGGGTGGCTTTGCGGCGCTCGGAGGCCGGCTTGGTAGGGGTCGAGGGAGCCGAGGAGGCACTCGATGAACCGGTGATGTCCACGTCGGGGGTCTTGGCTCGGCGGGCGCTGGAGAGATCGAGGGGAATCGGGGTGTCGTTGACTGGTGTACCTTCATCGTCCGTCATGATGTCGGTGGTGCCTGTGGTGCTACCCATCGTCGCTTCTGAAGGAGTGGCGGCCGACATGTTCTCGGTAGTTACCAGCGGGCTGAGTTTCTTCGCCCTGGCTCTGAGAGTTGTTTTGAAATCCTCGAACTCTTGAGGTTCTTCAGTCTCGTCTTTGCCGAAAGAAGCTGGACCCGAATCGTCTGCTTCGTAGTTGGAGTTCTGGATGATACGGCCTTCGCGCAAAGTGGATGATAATGATGGAAGAGAAAGTCTGTTGCGACCGGAACGAAGGCTGCCACGAGTGGGAGATGAGGTATTGTATATTTGGGAGCCAAGGTTGAGGGACACGCGAAGTTTTCGGGTGTTCAAAGGTGAATCTGGCTGATGGCTGGTGCTATTATTGCCAGCAGCAGGAGAGGCAGAAACGGCAGGAGCGGCCGGGGACCCACCACCTCCCATACTTCTGGTTCTAGCCATCGTGATGACAACTTTACCCTCGATCTCCTTCCAACAAAACAACGGTCAGCTCGAACACTCGACTCCGAAGAAACAGCTCGAAGAAATTGGGAGGCGCGGTGGAGGAAACCCACGATTAGACTGGTCAATCTTTCGCCTACCCATCAGCAGTGGGCTCGTCCCCGATGGCGGCTGTCGTATATTGCGATTGGTAAGAGACGCGTCTTGAAGAGCAGGGATATGAAGACACTGAATAGAGGTTAGGAGAGCAGAAGTTTTGACAGGTTTTCATTGGAAGCTTGGATATCCTTTAGTGGTACAAATACTCCCCGGCCTAGGCCTTCGAGACGGGGCAGCGCATCGTGAGATCGTTCTCGATCAGCAAGAAGCTAGAGACCAGCGAAAGCAATGAGCAGTGAAAATGACAAAGACTGCCTCATACCCTTGCCCACTAGACATCTCGAAAGGCTCCTGATCGGAGTTCATTCCTCCAACAAGCGCACCATGCTCAAAGAAGCAAAGTACGTCCCCTTTCCCATTATCCTTTCACCAAGGGCGTAACCACTGACATAATCCCAGTGCCATTCTGTATCACACCGACTTTGATACAAAGGATTAAATTACAGGTCAAGAGCATGGCGGCTGCCCCTGGATCTCCCTGGTGGCTGCCAGCGGAGACGAGCTCCGGTCTGATCTGGTTAGTTGGATTGCCAACAGCACGATGGGAAAGACCATTACCTTGTGGAATACTCCTGAGGCGGGCTCATCTTATGCTCCAGAATGTGAAACTATGGCAGAAGTCCAGGTCACAAACAGATTCCTGAACATAGGTAACTTGGGTAAGATGACTCTTTTTCGCGATAATATTACAGGATGATGGATGCTAATTCTTCACTCAGGTCGACACATCGACTCTACAACGCTGAGAAGCATTTTTAGGCTCAATTTCAAGCCGTCATATGAACTACCTCAGCTGAGTGACCGGGCCCGATCAATCCCCGGGCCCGGAAGCCTGCTTGATCTCCCCGCCTCTGAGCGACATCCTCCCTACCATCGGCGGTGGAGGCACGGTCAAGAGGCATGATAAGCCTCGCATCAACCTGGCAGCGATGCGCAATGTGTCGCTGGTTAGTACTGACCTCAGGTTTGCCACGCTGACTGACCCGTCGAGGCGCATGGCGCGCGCAACAATGGATGCTGCCGGAGCGCGCAAGCTCCAGTCCCTTGGAGGCGCGAGCCTCAGTACGCACGCCAAGCATTAGAAGGCGGCCGACGAGGCGAGAGAGAAGTCGCAGCGCAGAGAGGACGAGGATAACGGCATGGTTGAGGGCCCCAGCAACGACGGCCCCGGTACCGAGAATACAAGGACAGTTCAAAGTCTCGTCTGCCAACTTTTGGTGGGCCTTGATGACACTTTGAGGTCCACGCTTCACCCAAGCATTCAGCAAGCGGCCGTCTTCTATAGGCCTAACCACGGGCATCGGCAGCCAATCTCGTTAACGATGGAGACTCAAAGAACTCGCTCCCGAGATCATCTACAAGCTGTTCCCCTCGTCTTCACTGGGGGAGCAGTTCACTCCAACCAGGTCGGATGCCGAGCTTGCGAAAGTGATACAAGCAGGCCAGCCTTCCTTGATTTTATCAATATCCATCCCCGAGCTCTTGTATCGATGCTGAGACCATTATCCTCGCTTATTTGTTCATCGAGGGATTGCCCTGACGTAGAGGTGATACCTAATGAAAGAAAGCGGGATTGTCTTGCAGTATAAAAGTCTGTCATACCCGACGGCATGCTCGCTCTACTCAATCTTTACCCTGAGTCCAGAGTCTGACGTAACTTCAGTATTTTTTCTCAGTCATCATCAAACCCTCGGCTCTTACTTCATACCATTTCTCTGATCTAGCACAACTGCAGGTTGTCGACCTGAAGCAAGACTGGGTTCCCTCTATTTTTGTCGACACCAAACGCTAGTCAAAAAGCGTCTTTCATCATGGCTCGCCGATCGTAACTCATTTGTTAAAGCTAAAGGGTTTGCACATTCCACCGACCCTGCCAGCCCCATCCAACTTGGCTTCATTCGGAGGAGCAAACACCAACGTCATCCATCAAAACTGTCGTCAACTGCAGATCTCTTCCTCTGGTGTTCTTCTTTTGGCCCGATAGTCCGATCCCGAGCCAATGTATGGTTTGTTCCTAGATATCATACTACTCCCTTTGGTTATAGGAACACGGAATACCTCTCCGTTAAAGTAGTTGGTCGCAACCGGGGAGATCTTATAGCGACAAGTACCCAGACCGAAGAGATGGAGATGTCTGCACGGGAACTGGATCTTCTGATTTATTTTCACCGCGTTTGGCAAGGGCTTTGTGTCCACCGTCTGAGGTATACTGCGGCCGATGATTTCAATATTCAGGGCACCTTGATGGTGATTACCCAGTACGCGGCGCTGTTGGCCAAGCTGCAGGACATGTGGAGAGCGTAAGCAAAGCTGATTCCAACGGCTAATACCTCGTTGTTATTAATGTTTAGAAGCTTCTAATCGTTAACGAAAAATGATATCGGCTGGCCACAACTCCAAGACCAACGCATACGTGCGTGTGAGGAGAAGGCAGAGAAGGACTCTCGGCAGAGGGCAAAGATATCGACGAAAATTAAGGATTCTCTGCTGAGCCTTGCACCCATGTCAGATAATTACAGCTGGTAGTAATCTAGATTTATCTTGCTCAATATCCTCAGCCAGATCAATCGAGCTTAGTACCAGCAGGGAGACAGACGGATGACATCAAGGACGATTTCCCAGATTTGGAGCCAGAAATTAAAGACATGTCTACAACTACGCGAAGAATCGCTGGAGGCATCATGGCTTATCCAGCATGTCCCCGATGCAGAATCCCTCACGGGATCAACGTAACGATGAAGCCAAAGGATCATTCAAATTCGGAGGACATAGTTTTAAGACAAAATAGTCATCATATTCACTCAAACGGCAGAAAGACGGCTAGGTGGAGTATTCCTGGTCCACGCATCGCCGTCATAGAATACTTGAAGAGAATCGGAAGAAGGAGTTCAATGGCAACTAGATCGCTCCTTCCCATTTATCTCACTTTCCGCGGAATAGGTTCTGCTTGTCCAGCTTCAACTTTTCCTGCCGACCAATTATTCAATTTTTCTTTCCACCACCATATCTGTCCGCAGATTCCTCAATCCAAACTTTTCCTCTCTCACAAGCAATCAGATTTTCTATCGAGGTAGATAAGCTCAATAATACGAGTAAGTCGGTACTTTCAAATTTTCTCTCTCCCTTGGCTAACAAAAGGCTCAGAATGGCACCTTCTCTCGAACAAAGAGTCATCGAGGCACTCGAAAAGTGCTCCACCGACACAGACACTCCCTTCGACGATGTCTTGCGCGTCGCACTGAAGGTCACGCAGAAGATGCTTGAGCAGGCCGATCCACCCGACACCGCCGCACCAGTTGTCCCAGCTGTGGCATCTGTCCCTCTCGTCGCTCAGATCCCTCCTCCAGCTTCTGCTCTAGCTCCTAAGCCTACTGCTACTCGAGTTATTGCTTCTATTGTCGCACCTGCCAATCCTGGTACACCTGGCACTCGTCGAGTTCTGCGTACCGCGCTTCCATTGGCGATGGCTTCTGCTCGCAAACAAGCCGCCCGCGAAAGTGTCTCGCCGACCCCGACTGTCGGTGACGAAAACGACGACAGAGACGAGTTCGTCTGCGAGTTCGCTGGCTGTGGACGCTCTTATGAGCACAAGAGCTCTCGCAACCGGGTACGTTTCTTGTCTTCCTAAACCGACGGGACCTTTGCTGACTTCATTTGCTACAGCACTACAAGGTCAACCATGGCGGTCAGCGTCACAGATCGAAGTAAGGGGTATTCTGCAATTTTGCGGTTCCAGCGTTCGTTTCCGGACAGAATTCTTCGCATAGAGGCCTCGAGTGGTAGGACGCTTGGGACGTCATTCAAGTGCGAGAACTGACTCCAACTGCGCAGACATGCGTCAAGTTTCTCCTTATATCCGTCAGTCATAGGCCACACGTTACCTAATACATCTTGGTTTTGATACATGATCTCCTTTAACATGCTCCCCTCATTTTCCATTAACTATAGTATTTGTTCCTAATGGAGCAACAAAAACTCGCCACTCCGGGCCCTATATCTCAAGCAGAACCTGGTGTCAGCCGGTGTCATTATATTGGGAAGGATCATTTGTCCTTCGTTTCCTCTGACAGATCAATTGGTCTGTGTCCTGGAGAAGGTATTGCAAGTTGCGACGCTTTTCAGCTGGGTAGACTTCGCCCGACACTATATAGACGCGTGCACCCTTAAGAACAAGAGTCCCGAAACCTTGAGCGACAAGGCGGCGACGCACATAAGGAAACTCTCGCCAGGCTCTCGCCATCTTCAAAGGCCTCTGTAGAATAAGCAGTACCTCGCGAGAGGTAAAATGAAATAATCTTGCCTACGGACTGTGCTGGCAAGACCTGCTTCAAAGGGTAGCTTACGGGCCTCCTCACAACACCGTTTCACCCAGAGTGCGGATTGGGGAAGAATTCACCGCTCCCTTTGCATTCTCGAAGGGCATCGCAAACCGGAAAAATATCAACAACGACGATACTACCGCAAGTTATCACCCATCGGCGATTGTGGTGTTGGCTTCGATGCTTGATCAGACGTATGCCGTGTCCGCGGACATATTCGACAGCCAGAAGCTGATGGCAAGAGTGAAAGGAGAAGAGTCGTAACCAGACACAACGTCATCTTAAGATTGCCATTGATCAACAGCACATAATTAGAAAGTCACTCACAGCGAAGATAGAGAAGAGCCCGAGTACGAGGACAGGAGGCTGAGTCAATGAACGACTGCGAAGACTTCTACGACCCTAGAGACGACCATAAGGCAACGACAAGTTAGAAGAGTCAGACGACCAGGAAGACATACTTCGACTTTCCCTACAAGGAAGACTCCTTCGACTTGGCCATTGAGGAAAGCTGAGCGACTCAATCCAAAATTCAACTGAAAAGTAACTCTGAGTTTCAAATTTCTCAACCACACATTGGCAAGGCTGACAAAAGTAGGATTAGAAAGAGACTGTCAAGACAGAGGAAAGAGAACGAAACTCAAATGAAGACGTTGGTGAGGCCTGCTTCGAACAGCAAGTGGATCACTCGCGCGCGAGAGAGACAGAGAGAGCACGAGGCTGCCCCGATCCCCAGATTCGGTACGTATTTACGACATCAGCAATGCATCAACTTGAATATGCGAGGAACATCAGCCTCTTTCCTCGGGGCGAAGGCTGCAATCAGAATTTTCACCTAGAGACTGCACCTTCCATTCTTTCTTTCCTTCCTTTAGCCACCCACCTGTATTTTTCCCATTTTCTTTTCTCAATCGCACCTCTCTCACATTCTCTCCCAAGTCAACACGTTCGCTTGTATTCCTTCACCGGCACAACAATTGTACCACCTCTTCACCAAGCCATCAAGTTAGTCTCACACCTGCATTGCAAAGGTAGATAACCCTGCTACCGTTTGATACGGCTAACTGATGGATTGATTATCTAGGATGAAGCGCGAAGCGCTAGACCCGGTCAACGAGGGTGATAATGTGAACACCAATCTCGCTGACGCCGATATTGCCAATGCCAGCGACAACGCGAACCTTCCTGCTCCCACTTCCATGGGCTTGGCTAGCCAGAATGTCAACACCTCTCCCGACGCTGTACATGGACAGCCTACTGCTACCGCAACCCAAGATGCTGCTTCAGCTAGCGGTGAGCATCGACAGCTTCATGGCGACGGACGTTCCGCATCAGCCACTAGCGCCAAGAAGCCTGCTGTAGCAGCAGCAGCAGCTCCATTCGGCGGCCGGCTGCGAGTGCGGGACCCTTTTTCTGGCCGACTCGTTCGGGTACCCCAATACCCACCGGGCTACTGGACCCATGGGTGGTACGTCTGTGAGGTTCCAGGATGCGGCCGTCGGTTCACGCTCAGGAGCTCGCGCGCTCGTGTGAGTCACCTCATTACATATTGTTCATCGATATCCTTACTAACCTCACTAAAGCACTACCAGACTCAGCACCCCGTTACGAACTGAGCTCAGGTGCGATGCGTCCGTGAAAATTCAGTACTCTTAAGAGTCAAAGGATGGACTTGGGAGCCAGTCGTCTGGGAAGCAACAAACCTGGCATGGCATGCGGAAACAAGAGCCGAAGATACCTTGCTTAAACTGCAAGGAGCTGCTGGAAAGAGCTCTGCCCAGCAAGAGAATCTCATTATGCGGGCTGCCCAGCAAGGGCATCTCGTGTTGGCAGCCCCCCCAGCAAGGGCATCTCATGTGGTGGTGGTGGTGGTGATGGTGATGATGGCGATGGCCGGACAATAGTTCTATCCTTAGGAATTTCCATATCTTGAACCCTGAGTCCTTTGATAGTACACCAGGCCTTGTTTTCTGCTTCACAGCGTCAACACGTTCCTTTATCATTGCACATGAGCCGAGGGAAAAAAAACTCCGCCGCTTTGATAGGTTTCCTTCCTTCATGTCCTCGAACTTTAATACAGCTTTGTCTGCCATCTGTCTGGGCAAGAAGTCTCATAGTATGTCATGTAGTGGACTGTCTTTCTTCTTGACAAGTTCATGTTCTTCTCCCGAAGAATCGTTGGTCTGACAAATTTTCAATGACCCCTTTCTGGGCCATCTAGATCAAGCGCCTTGTTACGCCTTCATCAAAATCACACGTTCACTGACTGTGGCTGGACATCTCGAGCGGCCTGTACCTGCCCATCTCAACTTCCGCCTCTACCTGGCCTGCACCTGTCCTACTGGCTGACTTCCTTCCCTTCCATGTCCTTTAGCGATCTTGGTCCCCAACATGACAGCAGTCTATGTGAAATATTTTCCCCTCTCTCCTTCGTGTTTCTTGTCTTCATTGTTCCTGACTATTTTTTGTGAATCGATGAACCTTTTTCAGCCCTTATACTTCCAGGTTATGCGTTTCCTTCCCTTCACCGCTCTCCATCACCGCCTTAATTCACTATTCCCCTCTCACTTCTTATCATCCGGCTTCACTCATTTTTATTGGTAGCTTTGAGATCATCTGTGCCATCCCCGTCTGAAGCTCTCACCGTCGCATCTTTGTTCACTCATTACAACGATCCATTTTTTCATGAGCTTGGCTCTTTCCAAGCTTTTGTCAATTTCTCTGGTTTGTCCTAACTCACATCAACACCTTAAGCTGCCCTTCACAAAGCTCACACACATCAGGCACTTCCAAACACAGCTGTTTCTCTTCCTCCAGCCAAGCATAGCCAGCAAAAACAAACTTCGGTACGCTCCCTCGATTCCGTTTCCCGTCTGGCCCACCGAAAATAGAATGATTCCGTCTGGAAACATTGAGTGTTATCATTTTTCAACTTTATAGGACATAATCCAAAGTGCTTCAAGACTGCTCTAGGTACTCTAGAACAGCTGTTGCCGCCTAGATCTAACAACATCGGATATCTTCTCGCCCATACGCTGCCCAGGATCCTCTTTAGCCGCAACCCGTGTTGCGGGGTTCTTTCCCGGCTGGGTCATCTGCTCGAACTATTCTTTTTGCGGAACTCCTCAAGAGCCTTAGTTATACTTCCACCTCCATCATTGCCACTTCATTGCTCTCGTCACAATACAAAATAGCAATGATGGAGGGGGCAAAGGCTCCCCACCACGAGACTGGGGGTGCTGAGGACCATACAATTGAGTTGCAAGCGCTGCTGCAAAGAGCTGGGTAAGGAAAGATCTTCCTGCCATGATTGAGAGTTCAGCGAATCTCAGCCCGCTAACAGTTTGGAGGGAGCGTATGGATGTAGCTTCTTGTGGCAGTCTCAATAATTACGTGAAGAAGACGGTAGAATTTGAGCACCAGCAGGCTGATATTCTTGTCATCAAGTATCAACAACAGCACAATGGCTTTTGACGATCACTAGAGCGTCCCTTAATTCGCCAAGAGCACCAGTACCTCCCAGATGGTAAGCGCTTATAATATCACCTGCTCAGTCATGAGTCACGAGGAAATCAGCTAACACGCCATGTCACTAGGAAGTGGCTATGACCTCAATGATATTTTTTGGAGGGATCAACAATCATCCCGCCGTTCTAGAGTGCAAATGGTTGCACCATTATTTGATTGCTTTTGCGACGGTATCTATGATCTCCCCAGAGCCCCTCGAACGCTCGAGCGTGAACTCACTCTCGCAACCTCAAAGAGCAGAATACCCCGAACCTCGCCCTCCACTCGCTCGTCATGCGTTTGATGACGCCCTCGGTGGGATACTTCTGGAATCATACTCGTTTAATATGCCAGATCTGGCTCCTTCTTCTTGTTGAGACCGTTCATTGAAATGAAGGGGTTCAATCCGACATACCATCCCTCACGATTACGATAGCTTCAGTCATCAAGATGACGATTATTCCAAGACAGATTTCGACTTTACGGTCGAGAACACTGCGCACCCTTTGCAGGTCGTGAGACAAGCGAGATCTCTTGGATACTCGAAAGCTTGAGGGTTGGTCGGCTTTCAAGTTAGTTGAAACGAGGTGTCTAGAAGACGACCATTCAGTTGTGTTCAGTTGCCCTTTTTTCCTATTTTAGATCATCCGAGTTTGGTTGAAAGACAACGCTCAACTTTCAAAGAAATTTCGTCATTGTTCTGCTTTAATTTTGCTGATGCTCAAAGCTGGCAACGTGTAACCATTTCGCCCTGCGCTCAGTCTAGTGGTAATAAATCTCAGGCGGGTTGACAGTAGGCCACTCTTAACTTCGCTTCCCAGTCTTCATTTTTCCATGTAAGCAGTATTGATCGAAGCTTTCATTTTTCATAGCCTTTTCAACGAGCAGCCATCCACAAAGATACGTGTTCACAGTTTCACGAGTACTGGACGACCAAGTTGTCTCCGGCAGGCTCACTCTACTCCCACTTCATTGCTCTCAGCCACATATGATTCGGTCCCCGTTTTCGTCATCCAAGAGCTTCTCCTGAGGTGAAATCGTGCATTCGAGCCCCTATTCTTCACAATCCTCCAATTCGTTATCATTATGTCTTTCTCTTTCCGCCACTACCTCGCCGCTGGCATCCGTGGCATGCGCGTCGCCACCGGCACATCATATGAGGATATTTTCGATCAACTCTTCCAAGCTCTCAACGTTCTCCGTCGCGAAGCCGCTCAAAGCGGCGACATTCGGCCTTACTCTGAAGAATACTTCCCAGACGACATCTATGACCCGCCAAGTCCCCAGTATATCAACCTCACCGGTGTCCCCAGCCATGTCTCTTCCAGCTCTGGCCCAGCTCAGCCAGGACACCAGATCAATATCCCCATTCGCCTCAGTGGAACTCCCCAGCCCACTGCATTCGTTCAGCCCACCGTTTACCCAACCGATCCCAATGCCCCTATTCCAGCTGTTCATAATCCCCCACCCGAGCCCGTCTACAACCCGCACACAGAAATGCTGAGAAGGAAGGGCGACGAGGGAGACAAGCTCTGGCCCTGCGAGTACGACGGCTGCGATGCCTCGTACACCCGCCGTAAAACGTTCCTTGATGTAAGTCTACTTATTCCCTGATTCCTTCCTTGAGCTAAAATGCTAACTTGACTTCACAATAGCACATGGTGGCTAAGCATGGGTATCCAGCCCCGCCCAAGAGACCCTCCCGGCCCAAAAATCCAGCCAATGCCACAGCTTCTAGTAGCGGACAGGCGCAGGTTGGTCCTTCCGAATCCGCTCCTCAGAATGAAGAGGATGCCAACATGGAGGACTAGTTTTTTCAACTTCCGGCTTTATACAACTTGTATAAGCTTATTCGCTTTTCCGCCATTGGGGCTCAATATTTGTTTGAATTTGAGGTGCAATTTTGGAGCTCCACTGAAAAAAAGCATCGTGTGGTATTTCTTTCAGACGTTTTGCTGAGACCGACCTTAGCTTATAGCCTTACGCATCTATGCTTGTCCTTATATCTTCATGCGATTCATCATAACCTTTTTGCCTTGTACTGGTAATAGTGTCGCCCTTCAATAAGCTCATAGTCAATTCACCCATCGAAGCCAGGCCCGCAAAATTGGCCTCCGACTAAAACACCTATTAAGCCCACTGACAACTATCAAAGCTTCTGCAGGCTTGTGCAAAGGTGATCTAGTCATCTCCTGTACCCTTTTTGCACGAGAGAACCTGGATGCGGAAACCTACCGGCTACTCTCCTAGACTCTTGCTACTCTTGCTACAATCAGTATGATTGTCAGAAATACCGTTATACTAGGCTAAACACTAGCCGTTCAAAAGTCCAAGTTGTAGCAGAAAGACCATGGAGATTGGAACCCTCATGTTGTCTTTATGATCGAAGCTGTTTGACTTCCCGAGTCTCAGTCCTGGATCCCCATCGCTTTTAGTGAGCCTCGTTGGATTATCGCGACGGGAAATGGCAGTAAATAATTCGCATTTCCGAGATATACTAAGTCTTGTTTACCTACTCAGCGGAAATGCCAGGATTGCAGCGGTTGATTGAGATCTTGTGATGCGGAAAGCCGACTTTCTCGAAGCGGCGGAGCTGAGATAATTGCGAACCAGGGGCTTCAAACGACGATATCTTTGGCTAATGAAGCTTTTGCAGACAATGAGCGTACCACTCAGCGTCTCGTCAATGTTTTAACTTTTCATTCGCAATTGGGGGCCTGGCTCGGTTACAGTTGTTTCCCACAGTCGAATAGATTATACCTTCATGTTCCGTTAATCGCCCACTTGTTTTCTCTAGAGGATCAACTCCTGACCTAAGCTGATTTCCGCCTAATTCAGGCATTCATGTGTAACAGTGCTGGTCTGGGAGCGATGGTTTACGCATTATTCTTGCATGAGTCGAGCCCTGAACTGCCGCTTAGGAGTGGCTGGGGAAGTTTCCAGGCTACTCAAACGATGAAAGAGAGATTTTACAAAGCGATTCACTTCCAGCAGTCAACTGGCCACAGAGTAGTCACAAAGCTCGAGACAGCCTCGTGAAAGACAGCTCAAATTGACACCAACTACCTTCTGCTACTCCCCTTATTGTTCTATCCCTGAAACAAGATTTATGAGCTGGCGCCATAAAGGAATCCTTAGACAGCATGTCTTTCTTCCAGGGCCCTGTTTAACTTCACAATGATATTGTCTTCACTCTCTCTCTGGCGAGGTGTCAACAAAGACGAATTCTTCACCCACGGACATTGAGCATTAAAGACTAAAGCTAATCCAAGGAGTGCGAGATCAATGCTCACAACCACATTCATCAAATCATTAAGGATCACTCCAGAACCAATCAATCATGACGTTTGCTGTCGAGAATGCGTTTGCCCTCGCAATCTTGGGAGAGCACAATCCAGAAACTACGACTACCAAGGACCTCATCTTGAGAACAGACTTGGCCTTTTGGAGGGTTAGCAGCCGTCTCCTCGAGGGCAACACGACCCTCCCCAACGCTAACGCTGACATTTTTGAGGGAGTCTTCACTCTTCCCATGCTCGGTAAACGTGCCACCTCGAGCCTCGATTGGAACACTCTGGTCGCGACCGTCTTGGAAGTCTATCTCAGCATCCGCGAACGCCTAATCCGTGGCGAATGCATCCTCCCCTCTCCTCAAAGCACCATGAGAGCCAGTAGAATCGATCCATCTGTTTCCATCCTGTTTGGTACTGGACCGACGTTTCCTGCTGCTGAATCAGACGTCGGCGAGTTTCCAGATAATATCCTCAACGGTGAGTACCTATGAAGAGTATGATGAAGACGATCGTAAGGCTGGCTTACCTAACTCCGATCCCATCAATAAGGGCAAAAGGCCACGAGAGGAGGACGACTCTTCTTCTTCCCCCAAGACGAAGAAGAGAGCAAGGAAAGATAAAGGAAAGGGGATGTAAGGAGTTGTAGTTTCGTGTCGTTTGAGCAGGAATGGGGAGTATGGTCACATTTATCTACGTCTAGTACTGTATTTGATTCAAACCGATCTCCTTCTTCAAGATGTTGCTATCTAGTTTACATATAGATTGAAACACATCCAGTGTACCAAAGTTCAAGCATCTCTTCTCCCTACCACCGCTTCCCTACTTTCAGAGTGGGAGACAATCAAAAGTTCATATACCGATATAACCCCTATTTCTCGGCTCCACCCATTCTATTAATCATCAGCATCCCCAAGCTTCTGATTTTCCACTCCTGGTCTGCCAGACGTTGCTGGCACGGCCACTGCACCTACCAGACGCCAGTATACGATCGGTTTCTGATCCATCTTTCTTGCACTCTTTTCTGCTGGAAGGCCCAATGTACAGGTAACTTTTGATTCTGATAATGAACGAAGAAAGCCGCTGGGTGTACTCATAAGTCCCTTCGCTGCTAGAACGTCAGACTCGGGCCCTCCTACGAAACTACAACCTCGCCAGGATAGCTGCGCTAATAGATCTAGAAACAGTCGGCAAGCTCAGCCGTTAGAAACTGACGACTGCAGCAGGTGAGCATTGGGGCCTAACGTGTCCTTCACGTTCTTCTTGGACAGCAGTGCGGTCCGGCAATGGAATAGATTTTGCCGAAGGCAAATTGGCCCATCGATGATGACAGCATGGATGTAATCTTCAAGTGTGGTGAGAACCTTGGCTGGTTCGTAGACAAATACATCAATCGCCAAAACCCCGCCGTAAGTTATCTCATAGCCCTAGCTCTACTGCATTAAACCATAACTAACATCCTTTTCTCCAAGTATAGCCTCCAGATTGCTCGTGCGCCCCACGATTCCCACAATAACTACAATTGGGGTTCAAGATGGGAGACATATATCAGCAACCTTACGACTACTTACGTCGGATGGGATGTGGCAAGGTCATACTACCACTAGAACCTCTCCGAGTCAAAGGAGAAGTTATACTAGACTGAAAAGAACTCGAAAGGCCTTGGAAAGCTTACAGAGGGCTGCGCGCGGAAGAACAGATAGTCGATCGCATAGGGGTCTCAATTCCCTTATACGCCATCATCTTCCTCGTATCATTCGTTACTTTTCGGTAGGCACAGAGCAGGTTCTCGCCTCCTTTCATTAGCCAGAACTATGAGGTGTGGCCTGCATCGGACCAGCCACAATGGCCGAGTTGGTCATCTGAAGTTTGCGAATAAACACAAATCTTTTGGTTTATTCCACAACATCTTCACCTGTGGCTCGCTCCTTCCTTCTCTTTTAATCGTCAAGCAGTGTGAGCTTGCTCCCGTCTACTTATAGAAACCCTACTTCACGGGCCCAGCAGTCAACTTACCTTCCTATGCGAGCTGGGGGGGGTTTTCAAAAGAGGTATAACATTATGTTAGCATAGTGGTGTATTAAGTGACGCTAGGTTTATACTACTATGTGTAGATAGTGTTTTATATACTACTATATTGAGTAAAGTAGATATTAACTAGTGGAAATAGCGGTCCAATAATAGACTTAATAAGCAAAAGATGCGGGTATATATAGTAATATTACTATACTAGGTATACTATTCTAAGTACCTTTGTATTAATATAGCGTAACTAATATATATATACTTATATTCGAATTATACCCGTATTACTAAAAAAAACAGGGTAGGGTAAAAAGGGCTATAGGCCCGTATTATAGCTTCTATCTAATTAGCCCTATCTATTAGTAGCCTATGCTTATTATATCCGAGTACTTAGTATCTACTACTACTTTTAGAATAATACTTATTTATTACTAATATTGCGATATTAGTATAATATTATATCCTTTGCGCAGTATTATACTATACGTAGTATTATACTACACGTAATATTATATCACACGTAATACAGTATTATATACAATACAGTATTATATATAACACCATAATAACATACCCGCTATAATTATTATTATACTAATATTCACTAAGTAGCTTAAGGCTCGACTCATTTTTATATTTATAAATATTATTACTACACTACTATTAATTGCATTCTGATATAGTTAATTCCCATTACTATTACTACCTGCTACCTACTACTCCTCACTACTACTCCTTACTACTACTCCTTACCACTACTCCTTACTACTGCTCCTCACTACTGCGCCTCGCGGGATGCTCTAAATACCTACCTACCTCGTGCTATAATTTCTAGCGATTGTACGATAATTCTAATCTTTTTATATTTAAATTGCATAATTAATAGTGAAGCGAGGCACCGAATCGCCAGACTGCCCTAGTATTGGCTAGGTAGTAGTGGAATTAATACGATAGTAATTATGCTATGCGGTAGATTATTAATACGATATCTTAGATTAGTAGAAGAGGTGACTTGCCTTATAGCTTTTATAGCTAGCTCGGGCCCTGGTAAATAAGGTGATCCTGGTAGGTAAATAGTTAGTATAAGATACTTCTAAGGGACTATTAACTTATAGTGTGCCCTTGTCCGTAGTAAAGAAGCTATATTATAAAAGTATACGATAAATAGGTATCTAGGAAATAGTTTATTAGAAATATTAGCTAAAATTATTAGTAAAGTTCGGTTAAGGATAGTATACTTAGTATATTTAGCCCGGACTAATATTTATTAATAACGATATTAGTACTTTAGAACTACGAGATATTTAATATTAATATACCCTAAATGAGTAATAAGTATAAAAAGAGCTTTTTTTAAGAGTAGTAGGAAAGTAGCTTAGTAAAATTGGTAGTTAGTAATTTCTAATTATAAAACTAAGAGCTAGATAGACTTCTTATATACTAGACTTATTATAAGTAGAGTAGTAAGATAAAGGTATACTATTATGCGTAATATAAATAGTTAGATAGATATTATTAAAAAGTATATACGTTAATAAGGAATGCTCTTAGAAAACCCGTTAAATAAGGGATATCTTCTCCTTAATTAACTCTACCTTAGTTAAATACTATATAAAACTAGAGAAGGTATTATTAATAGTAGTTAGTAAAATTTATATATAGAGGAGCTAGTACTTATTAACGGACTCCTAAACTAGGGGCTAGTAAAAATATTATATAGCGAGGTTTAAACGGACTAATAAGACGCTTCTATTAAGCTATAAGGTATAATAATTAGTAATATAATTAATCTAAGACGGATATACGTTTTAAACTTAAGTAAACTTTAGATTTTTAAGATAATTATGTCTACGGGTCTAGTTAGTATATTTATTTAATATAAAGTATAAACTTAATTCCTAAACCGAATACTAATAGATTTAACCGTTAGTTATAGGTAATAACTATAGAAGCCGAACGTAATAGGGATTTAAAGTAGTACGGGGCAAGATCGAAGTCTAATATATATAAGTAATATAACTCGTTAGTACGCTATAAGAAGCCGCGAGAGGCCGTAAAAAAAAACTAATATTAGTCGTATATTAAATATAAATAAAACTAAGCCCGTAAGTAAAATATAACTTAGCTAACTAAGGTTATCCTTAATTTAATACTCTTATTTTATACTTTTTATAACTAAGTAATTATAAACTTAATATATAAAGTCGAAGCGGCTTACCGAGGTATAATATGTGGGTATAAGTAGTGGGGGTTTTTTTTTAGTAGTAGGAAAAAAATTCCTATGTGTTAAGGCGGTATTATAATTAGCGCCGGCTACTAACCCTTATTTCACTAGCTATAGGTCGTAATTATATTATGTACTCTAGCTATACCTAGCCCCTATTCCTCTTATTTTACTAAGTTACTATTTTTATTAAGTATATTAAAGGCTTAGTATTTGATATTTACTAAGTTAATAAAAGTAGAATTATATATCAGAAGCGTTATTACTTCTCTAATTAGTTTTAAAGAGTTATTATGAAGTTCTCTTTCTTACCTAAGTCTAGATATAACGTATAGTTTTAAGTATATTAGCCTAATAAATATAACTAAACTAGATTTTAAATACCCTTAGGTTCTATAATAGTTAACTACTATTCTATTTATATAATAAAGGAGGAAGAGACTTTGTTTAAAAGTCCTGGGTAGTATATTAGGATTCTATTATATTATAAAAAATAATATACCTCTCCCTCTAATTTTTAAATTATATTCTAACCTATAAAATCCTCTTATCCTATCCTAGCTACGTACTTTATAAATATTAGTTTAGTAAAGTTATATAAGATTACCCTAGCTAACTATTAGTAACTCTCTACTCCGATAATAGGTTTTTTAATTATACTAGGCCTATTATATTTACTTTAAGTCGCAAGGCTTTAATTAATATTTTATAGTTATAGTAAAATCTAACGATTCTATATTTATTATACCTTAGCTATGCCTTAGTTAGTAAAAATTAGATTATAAAGATATTATATAATACATAGAGTAATATCTTATCCTTCCGTTCGATAATCTACTCCCTCTGTGGGAGTATTACTAATAGCCCGATAATAATCTATTAGTTTATTAAGTTATAAATTAGATATTTAAGAACTTTATCGATATTATAGTTACTAAAAAAATTACTTATTACCGAGATTACTAAAAATATTTAATAATCCGTTAAGATTCTATATATAAAGATACTATTAATTTTAACGAGGTCGTTCTTACGTATTTAAATAAAATTACTAACGTTAAAATATATATCTATACTAGTACTAATTAAGTAAAAAGAGTAAGATAGTAATTCTTTTTAAAATAAAAATCGGAGAGCTTACTTACTTAGTAGTAAAAATAAGCTACTTATACTACTTAAGTATATTACTCTATTTAAGTAGGATATTATTTATTTTATAATTAAACTAGTATACTATACTAAAAA